GTGTGTGTGTGTGTGTGTGTGTGTGTGTGTGTGTGTGTGTGTGGGGGAGGATCATGAAATTATTTTTTTAAACCAAAGGGGGGCCCATCAGAAAAGGTTTGGAAACCACTGAGGCAGAGGATTTCCCAAAACCTAACCATCTCCAGAGTTCTGATAAATCTATCATCAAGAAATGGGCCCAYTAAGAGTGGGCCGTCCTCACAAACTGAGAGACAAGAAGGAGAACAGTGAGAGTCAGTGAGTGAGCCCTCTGAAGATACAAACTTCAGCAGGTGAGATGAGAGAAACTGTTGTCCGAGCTCTTCACCAGTCTGAGYTTTATTGGTGAAAAGCGAAGATAAAGGCGCTGTTGGAGAAAACTAAATCTCTACTRGAGTCTAGAGAAGGGGTGAATATTTTGTATAAGCACTGTACTCTGGATGCTATCAGATCAGGCAAGGTTTTAGTTTAAAACTCTGGGATGCAGAAAGGTGAACAATGAAACACTCCTTCAAAAAAATTGCTTATTTCATTTCTCAAATAAMTTGATAATAAAATTTAGTTAACATTTGATGCCATGCTAGGATGATGTCATTTTTAAAAACAACCAAATTTTACTTTAATCACAAACAATAAAAAAAGTCAGTACCCGTTACCAGAAGAAACATGATTATTTTTTCCAAAACCAGGAACACCACTGTCTCTGTCCTGAAACTTGATAATAGTGATCTCATTGTTAGAAGAAAACATATTTGGAAGTAAAATTGACTCAAAATCTAATGTTTATTTCTGTTTTTCCACAGTAGCAGRAGCGATAGCAGCAGCTTGATGAAGTAGCTTCTGGTCTAGTACGGAGATGGCTTACTTTCTTCTGCAAAAACAGTGGTTTTTAAATGTTTTTGAGATCATTTAAAAAAAACTGGAGGGCATTTAAATAATTTCTCTTTAAAGGCCATGTGTCAAATTAAACAAAAATACTATTCAAGCCACTATTGGTTAATTTATTGCTTCTGACCTTTCCTATTATTGTTTTTTTTTTTAAGTCGGCCATTTCTGAACAGATTAAACTTAAGAGAAGAAAATTTTCTTACTTTTCCAGTACAGCCATGATCATGGGAGGAAGTACCATGATTGGCATGGGCATGACCACTCTGGTCATGGCAGTCTCCAAAAGTGCCTGTCAAAAAAATAAAAATAAAATAAAATAAATTCTGGAAAGAAAAAAGAAAGTTCTGGTCCTTTAATTATAAGCTTTCAGGTAACAGGACTTACAGTAAATTAAAATCTCACATTTTTTTTGACAGAATTACATATGTCCACATCAGATACGACACTTACATGTCTTGCAGCTATTTTTGACGTCCCCACCACGTTCTCGTCGTCATCGAACACAACGATGCCCTCCGACAGCTCTGAATGTCTCATCAGCACCACGTTGCAGATGTTTGCACTCGCTGTGAAGATCAGAGAATACGWTGAAAACTAAAGAGTCTCACTGCTAACAATAATATTTATTTATTACAAATGTAATAAACTTTGTTTGCTCTGTGACTGGGCTGCAGGATCRGACGGTATGAGGCCTCAGCAGAAGTGAAAAAAAAAAACAGGATTGTTCTCATCTCTACATCGCTTCATCACTTTTCTTGTAACCACAGAATATTTTGCTTGACGAAGAACACAAACCGAGAAAACTAGTTTGACAGATTAAGATGAATCCTAAAAGCAGAAAAATTTCCCCAGATCACRAGTTAAGAACTTTTTGACTTTACACAATCCAGCTTCCTTATGCTCATGGTTCTAACTGTTATGGGGAGGCAGTGTTTTTAAGAGTTATAATGATGATTCAGGATAATTCTAGTTTGTTTTACTACCATCATAACCGCATATTAGCAAGACAAGTAAAAGAAGAAGCAGAATAGTTAAACTGTGCAAAGTGTGCAGTGTTTTGTGATGATTCCTTTATTTAAAGGGGCAATATCATGTAAAATCAACTTTTTCAGTTTTATATCATGTTATAATGTTATCCTCTCATAAAAAAACATGCCTCGAAGCCTTGCTTTGACTCATTCATGCAGGTTTGAGA